ATCTCAGGCAGAGGCTTTTTTTTTGTTCTTTTTTCTTCCCTTTCTGCAGGTCAGAACAAAAAAATCTGTGTCCTTGGTTCATCCTCAGGCACTTCTGTAATAAATGTGATTATTACTGATCAGCAGTTTTTTGTCAGCATGCATGTCATGTACTACAGAAAGAGCATGATTTACTATCAGCCTGAATTTTAGCAGAAAAGTACTTCATACGCTAAGGTTTTCTCTTACTCTGGATGGCTCCCCTGAGATCCTAAAAACCCCTGAAGCAATATAACAATTGGTATTGATCTGTTACAACAACTGAAGGTAAGAGCAGTTATGTTTAAGAAAAAAATTGTTTTTTTTTTTTAGTGGTGTGAAAGAGATTATTGCTTGTAGCCTGCTTAGCTGTATTCATTTTTACCTTCAGGCTCTCCTGCAGCTCTAAAGAGGGTAGAGTAATATGTTAAAAGTGGTGTCTAGAACAGCTCTGGTGTCTTCAGATTCTCTCTTGGGTATAATGGGAGGCTAAACAGCATACCTTTTCCCCTCTACAGTCTGCATGAGATAATTTCTGCAAGTGCATAACTACAGGATCTGTCAGGATGCTTTCTTTATTCTGTTCATGTCTGTAAAATTTCAGCTTGCTGAAATTGTTCCAGGTCACACTGCTGCTTTTAAAGGGGTCTGAAGTAAAGTCCAGGACCCACAGTCAGTCGAGAACATGCTTTAAATAATACCTCAATTAGTGAACTGAGTCCTTTTCCAGTAGAAGCTGTTGTGATGTGACTATTGCCGTGTTTATGTTGGATACTCAGAAAAGTTACATCAGCTTAAGATTCAAAATCAACACATTGATCATATGTTTAAATCTCCCATGAATGTTGTTTTTTAAAAAAAAAGTTATTTTAGGTTACATACTTCAATACTTTTTGTGGATGTGCACGAGGCTTTAGTGTGCTTTGAGTGTATTTGATTTAGTTGAATAACTTCTTAAGAGAAGACAAGGAAAGAGGAGGGTACAGTCACCTTTTTCCTTTTGTCTCCTTGGACTTGTGCATAATTCCTATGCAATGATCATGAAATGGCGTGGTCTTCGGGCTGCGATAGAGATCCCCACACAGTACAGCTGCTAGGCATTTTTGCACTGATCCTTTGTTGCTGGTAAACATCTGAGCTCTTGTGGGAGAAGCCAAGTTCACAGACCCACTCAGTGCAGATGAAGTGAGGGCTGTTGTACTCAGATGTTGCTAGTGCAATTGCTTTGTTTGAGTATCACAAAGTAAAACTTGTGTTGCCAGAGAAATTTGAACCCCCCTGTGTCATATCTAGGGATACAGACAGTATGGAACAGCTGTTACAGCCAAGGGTCCTTCTCTGCTCTGTGTTGCTTGCACAAAAAACAACTTCCTTTTTTTAATATTTGGAAAGTTATGACCTCATCCAAATAAATTTGCCCTCTTGGTATTCATGGTTAGAATCCTTCTGTACTTTTGCTTCTCCTGGGCGAGAAGTGGAGCTGGGAGAGAGAAAAGTCAGAAATCAGACTTTCTGTGATGAGCTGATGTGCAGTCTATGGGTGAACTTGAGGTGTACTCTGATATGAGATGTAGCTAAGTGACAAAGTGCTAAGCAACTGCATCAATGTAACAAGGTGAGTGGAAAACAATAGGGAGTGTAGATTTAAAGATGATCAGCATTAGTGTGAGCATAGTTATCAGTGTTTACAGAAATGTGTTAGTAGGCAGAGGAAGGGTTAAAATAAAGCTATTGTTTGTCTAGTACACTTTATACAAGTCATGCAACCCTTTGAGAAGGCAATTGAACCTTTTTCATATATTTCAGTCAGCTGAAACCCCTGGAGTCCTAGGGCTGTGTCCAGAATTGCCCAAGCAGTAAAGAACTTGCTTATGGATAATTGGAGAGGGGGAATAGCTTGGGCTGGAGTTGCTGCTGTTTTCCAACACCAGGATGAGCGCCGTTTGTCTGGGTGGCTGGTGGCTGTTACGGTTAGAAACCTCTTAATCTATACTTCTGTCTTCCTGAGGGCCACTGTGTGGAATCCCCGTTTGGATGTGACCTCCACGCAAACAATTTTGAGGTTGCTAGGCAGAAGATAAGTGCTTTCCTTGGTGCGTGTGATCGGCTATTGCCATGATCACGGGGCACTGGCCATGGTCAATGCATGTGACCCTGCACTTGCACCAATCCCAAGCAGACAGATGTTGGCTACCCTGTGTGCTAGCCTGTTTACATATTTACATTTCAGTGCCTGCAAAATGTGAACAAATATTCTGTGCTGCAATCACAAGTTAATCTGTATCTATTGCAGGGGTTACTTAAAAATTCTGGTGTACTCTGCAGAGTATTGCACTCTTGCATCTTTTTTGGCGGATTGCTAGCTTGAGTTCTGTGCTGTGGCTACTTGGTTTATTTACTGTCTGGAAATAGTAGCTGGTATGACTGAGGCTTCTCTGGCTCTGTGAAATTTCCTGCAGCGGTGCTGCAAGTTGGTATTTTTTCTAGGTGCTTGACCTGTTTGCAGGGATTTCTAAATGGCTTACAAGGTTGTAACAGTTGTTCATGTCAGTGTGACCAGGCAGGTGAAAAGAACATGTGTTTTGGCCTTGGTCACCCCACAGTTTGACATACTTGTGTAACTTACTGATGAAAGCGGGTTTGTACTGAAGTATCTTGTACTGTGAACTAAAAAAGCAGTGTTCAGGGAAGACGGTGATGTCTGGCAAAGAAATTGTAGCATGTAGATAGGGTGTCATAATATCTTGAATTGCTGCTGTGGTTTGCCAACACACTTACTTGGATGGGAAATGTTACAGCTGCAGTTTACACTTAAATGAGAATATGTGAACTGAGTGCAGTGGACTCTTCATGGTCATATCAAAGTAATGGTCTCCTGCTTTATCTGTCAGGGGATATCCCAGAGTTTTCTATCTTCAGCTAACCGTAGACTTTCCCATGAGAAGGAGATATGCATAAAATAAAGTTCTCAGCTTGGAAGGCAGAAAATAAAACTCATCACGAGCAGAGCTGGCAAGGAGAGAAAGGAAGCAGTTTATTTTGATCCTGCTCAATTGTAGAAGCACAGAGTCTGCTTAGAAGAGGAGTAGCTGAGTAGTTCATGCTGTTTAAAGAAGATGACACGCAGAACTTGATGGGTTTGTGTGCAGAATGAGAATCTGCAAGTCTGGGAAGAAGAATATCTGAAAATAGAATAAAATCATTAAAATTGGAAAAGACCTCAAGGATCATCAAGTCCAACCCAACACCACCTATAACTCACTCAGCCATGTCCCTAAGCACGACATCTACATGTTTCTTGAACACCTGCAGGGACGGTGACTCCACCACTTCCCTGGGCAGCCTGTTCCAGTGCCTTCACTCTTTCAGTGAAGAAATTTTTTTCTAACATCTAGCCTAAACCTTCCCTGGTGCAACTTGATGCCGTTTCCTCTTGTCCTATCACTTGTTACTGTAGCGAAGAGGCCAGCACCCACCTCACTACAACCTCCTTTCAGGTTGTTGTAGAGAGTGATAAGGTCATCACTCTCTTGTAGATGAGAATGTGAGACAGAATTCTGGAAATTTTTCTTTCTTTTACAGTATATTGTCGCTTTACAGCCTGGACATTCCTTTTCCACTATTTGGGCTATCTCTACATCTCAATCTAACCTCAGACTTGGTTTATGTCTTCAATGTACGTGAAATGGGATTTTTACTGGGATATGTTAAAAATTCCCCATAAATGTATTCCATATAAAAGTATCCCCCAGTCAATGAGATTGACATGTGAGATAAATTAATTCGCTCTTTGGCCTTGTGTCAACTGTTTTTAACAAATACTGGGCTTTGTATAGCTGTTCGCACCAAACAGTCTCCAAGGCCTGTCAAAGGATGTGCATCTCATACCTTGTTGGGTTGTTTTTGTTTTTTTTTTTTTCTTTGAAAAACTGGGGCAAGGGGAGACAGTGTTACTTGAATGAAGACAGGAACAGTGCTGTGGGAAAACAACAGACCTGGATATCAGGCCTGTGATTATGTCTCTTTTAAAAAAAATCTAATGATGACTGGGAATCTTGCCAGCCACTGGAAGAGAGTTGTCCTTGCTGTTAAATTGTTAGCTTGCTCCTTGGCATGTGTTGGCCTAAGCTCCCAAAAGAGCCCTGGGCAGAGTGCAGGTTTTAAGAGTGTCCTAGGAACTGTCCCATTAAGCAGTTTGTATGCAGTTAACCTTTTCTGTAAATTGAGAGATGTTTCTAGTGTGAGTTTAGGCCCCTTTATGTTAGTTGGCTCTGATAGTGGGAATATCTCATGGTACTTTAACTTGTGTAGGTAAACTCTAGAAGTCCTAGGTCTCAGTGGAATGCTCTATCCAGTAAACCATTAGGACAGCCATGAAAAAGAAATATCTCAAACTAAAATTATGTTTACAGTGGAATCTACTTTTTTTTTTTTTTTTTTTTTTTGTGGTGACCCTAACAAACCTTTCTGAGATTGTGAGGGTTCCTTGTGTCTCTTGATAGTCAAGGTTTATAATCTTAATCTGTAACATTTTCTGTCTCAAGTAAAACTATCGGGTTTTCTGCTTTAGTTTAATTGTTTCTATTTTTGGATGCAAATGCCTGTCTGTTTAGCTTTAGATCGATGCCACTTAAGAAGTGGGACCACATTGTTGTAGTGATTTGTGGATCACAGAGTCACAGGGGGCTGTCTAGAAGCAGCATAAAGAAGACGATAGTGCAGACATTGAACTTCCTTTGTAAACCATGTGGTGTATCCATATTTTTCACAATGCTGTAATCTTCCTGCAGACCTTTTATCTCTGAGGACATGTTACAAGTAGATTTGTAGGGGAAAGAGCAAGACTAAAACGACTGGGCAGTACCTTCTTGTCTGGTGCAGGCCTTGTATGTGGGACAGATACATTGTGGCACTGTGGGACATGTATTTTGTACATGGGACAGATGTCATGAAAATTACTTTGATTTTTCTCTTGTGTTTTAGGGACACTGAGGGTCTTGAATGACCATGAGCAACCCTTTTGTACAGATTGTGGAGCCACTGGACCCTAAACAGCCTCTGAAGAAGTTCTTTAATCTGAGCAAATTGGAAGATGTGAGATACGGTGGGTTGACAATGTAAAGAAAGCATTTTGTTAAGTTTGATTAACAGAACCTGAAGAGACATTGCAACATTGGACGATATTTGGTCTCTGGAGAGAACTATCAATTCAAAAGATGGTTTATTTTTAAATTTTAGGAAAATTAATTGTGGAAAATTAGAACTAAAGAAATACTGGCGAGATCACAGTATTATTATCTCAGCATGCTGTGCACAAAGCAGTCTTGTTTTTCTTGAGTGGATGAGGAGGACTAGGCAAAACTAAGACCACAAGTTTTCTCATATATTAATGTGCTACTGTAAAAGGCTGGAAAGGAACTGACACTGATATGACTGGACCATCCAGAAGGATTATTTTAAAAAGCTTTGAAAAGGGTAGTGGCTAGAAAATCCTTTCTGAGGAGGCTTTTTCTTTAGTTCCTCTGACACTACCTGAATGTACTCAGGCATTTTCCATGTGACACTGGTAAAAGTCTTACAATCCATGGCACTGACTTAGAAAGTGAGTATCTATAGCTTAGAGCTGTCTGTGTTGGGTATTGTTACTCTTTCAAAGAGGAAACAAGTGATTAAGGAGAATTCAGGAAGCAGGAGGAGGGACGTTTTCTCGGAATGTCAGCAACACTTATCCATTGCAGGCTCAGATAGTGTGTAAATGAGAAATCAATTAATGTTGGACTTAGTGAGTGAAAAGCAGAGATGCGTCTTAAGAAGTAGTCAAATACACAGGTGGTATTACCAGTTGATCCATTCCAGGATTCCAAGAGTGATAAACTCCAGAGTCCTTAAAGAAAAAAGGATGCAATTTTCACTATCCAGCAGAAAAATGTAATAACTTAGCAGAAGAAAACAGTAAATCTTCTCAAAGGTTTGAGTGGAACGGGTCAGTTAGCGCTGACCTGCTGACAAAGCTGGAGGCTAGAAAAGGGTGCCTGATAATTTGAGATAAAGTCTTGTGAGAATATGGGGATAGCACTCGGGGACCCATCTGCCCCAGGCATGGCTCTCTGCACTTGCTGACCTATACCCTAAGGTAAAAACTGAATTTGTTTCTTACATCTTACCCATGCAGCACGCCTGCCGTTTTCTATTCGAGTCCTCTTGGAAGCAGCAATCCGTAACTGTGATGAATTCCTAGTGAAGAAGAGAGATGTTGAGAATATTCTCAACTGGAAAGTGATGCAACACAGGAATGTTGAAGTGCCGTTTAAGCCTGCAAGAGTTATTCTCCAGGACTTCACGTGAGTCTGATGCTCTGCAAAGCTAGGAAGAGGGGCTCTTGAAAGTGCAGCAATGCTCAGCTTGGGCTGGAGGGTTGAGCTGAGGGAAAGAATAGCAATGAAATGTTTGAGAAGACCTTTTACAGATTTCCTGGATGTCATGCTACAGACACCACTTGGAGAGGCAAACACTCATTATAAAAGCATTAAATGAAATGCTTCTGAGATGGAGAAATAAATATAAAACTCTTCAAAAACAGAAGAGAAGAAAATGGGATGGATAAATTAATCCAAGTGAAGGAATTCAGAGTTTAGAGATTTTGTTGTTGTTGTTGTAGGGGGGGAGGTTGATGTCTTCCTACCCCCCAGGGGCTCTTGCTTTCAGTTTTCTACCCTTTCAATTTTCATTTTTAACCCATATCATTATTATCTCCTCTGCGTCAATATTATTCCACATATATTTTTAAAGACTTCTCTGCTGTTGAAAAAATGAAAGTCTACTTTTTCCCAGAAATGCGAGTTGAGATTCCTACCTAATGGACTCTGAAAAGTGGGCCTTGTTACTGCAGTGTGGTTAGTCCCCATGTGTCAGCATGTAGTAGTTCCTGGTGGATGTGGAAAGTCAATTTTGAGGTGGAACAGTAGCTTCTAATTGTTTTTAATACAGTATTTGACTTGCAAGTCCACTGTCCTTTGTACTTTTGTCCTCTGCCTTTGTAAGAGAGTTTAGTTCATCCATTGTGACCCCCATGCTGCTAAGCTGTCAGTTGATTTTATTTCTCAGAACAGCAAGGTGTCTTAGCTGTCATACCTTCTGTTTTGCATTTTCACAAAGGTTGGCCAGGTGCTAGAGACCTAGAACAGCTCAGCTCCTAAAGACATTAGGAAAAACTGGCAAAGCCTCAATTGAAAATGTGCTGATTTCTATCTATTTTTTTACCCACTGGCTGTTAACATTTTAAAAAGCTGGAGCATAGAGGAAGTCAAACTTTCAAGCAAACGTTGTTTCCTTTGTTACTGCACTTCCTTCTTGCCCCCTACTCTCCTGCTGAGTTTTAAAAATTTCCCTATAAGTCTGCATAGCAACTGCATACATGACAAACGAACTTTTGAACAGGCTCCTGAGTGAGAGCTTTTGGAAAAGGCAGCTTCGGCAGCTTCCCAGAAGCCATACAACAATTACATTAACGTGTCTGGATTAGAATTATTGAATTTCCTAGATCTGATCATGCTGTAATTATCCTGAGTTCCTCTAAGACTGTAGATGGGTGTTGTGTCTGTTCCTTTTCAATTGTGTAACATTTGTAAGCTGGCAAAATAACTCTTCCCTTCCTTCTGTCCTTTCCTTCCACCCCTGCCCTTGCCCAAATCCACCTAAGTAGCATAACAGAGCATTTGGTGTTTTCCTTGGAATAGACATATCCTGGGACAACAAACTGCTTGACACCATCAGTTAATTGTGTTAAGGTTAGATAGTGTGGACCCTTTCTTTGTTTGTTTTTGTAAACACTCAGGATTTTCAAGGTAGAGTTCAGTGGGAATTAGAAACCCTTTTCTTTTGCATTGTTTCTTATATATTTTAAGATCTTAATAGCTACCTTACAATCCGAGTTCAAAACATAAACTCTCACTGCTTTGGGCTGCTCATACAGAAACACAGTGTTCTTAGTGGGTTACTGAATGGTACCAGATCCCTATGAGCACATTACAGACTGCTCTTTTTGTCTAAGCAGCCAGCAAAATCAGTTAGGCTGGTATGTGAGAGGGTTTCCCAAACTGATTAAAAAATGTCGTGGTAGTACATACCTCAGGAGAAGCCGAGAATATATGTGCTGAGAAGCACCAGAAGCTTTGTTAAAAGAAATATAGATGTGTTGGTTAAGATTGGTGTTGAAGTGCCAGATCTTCTGGTTGCTACTCCCTATTTGCTTATGACTAAACTTGGGGTGGAAGTGGAGGGTGGATGAAAGACTCTCACATGCATTACTTTGACCCTCTGTATAGTTTACCTACTTCATTTAGGAAGGAAGGCTTAATTTAGGGATTTAAAAATTGTTTTGGATGAATGAGACATACAAACATAGAGAACAAGGCCTGTTAACTTTTTTCTAAGTCACTTGGAGTTCAAGGGCTTGCAGCATTGTCACAAGATATATGAGAAGGCAGAAATGTGAATGTTGGCATATACCCTGAGAACATGCTGTTTGAATGTAATTTGTGATACAAGGTGTTTTGTCAGTGGTAAGTATAAGAATTTGTTAGTAAAGACGAATAGTACATCTTATTTCTGCCTTTTGTGTTTGTCTGGTGATCTGCCCGGGCAGTTATATCCACTTCTGAAAATACGGTTATTCTGCAAAGGTGTTTTGCAGTCACATCCTTTGTAATTTAAGAAATATGATGCCCTGCTCTGCCAGTTTCACTTGAAGTGTGGAAGATAGCAAAGAGCCCTAATTATGGAGAAGATTCTCCTGTGCCTTGCCAAACTTGGAAAAAATTACCCTTCCCTTAAAATCAGCTAAATAAACATAGCAAAGAATGAAAGAAAATACACTGTCATTTTCCCCTTCTCCACTTATTTTTATTTTTTTTTAAACAGATTGGGGAGGAGAGAGAGGAACAGAGCAAAAGAAGATAAACCAGTTCAAGGTCCAAAAGGAATGCTGACTAGCACTAAGCTTTCAGATTCCCAGCCAATCATGTTAAACTGCTTCTGTTACTTGATAAATTTTGTCTTTAGCTTTTAATTCTTAGAGTTCTCAGGATATACAGTTCTGTCCCTTGTGCTCTTGTGACTTTGTCTTCCCAAGGGTCCGGTCTCTGACACAGAGTAATGATCCCAAGGCTCAGGGCAAGGCTACTCTTGCATTTGTACGGGACAGTAGGTGTCTGTTCTACGTCTCAGGATCTCAGTCGTGTTTGTTTTGTTGTTTTTTTCTTTTCCAAATTGTTTCACCTTGCCTATTTCTTTTCTGTTTTAGTGGGGTACCTGCTGTGGTTGACTTTGCTGCAATGCGTGATGCTGTGAAGAAACTTGGTGGGGACCCTGAAAAAATCAATCCTATCTGTCCTGCTGATCTAGTGATAGATCACTCCATCCAGGTTGATTTTAACAGGCGGTAAGGGCACAAAATAACTCTTACTTCTTAATGGTAGTAAGTAAGCTGGATCCAAGTACTGATCATAAAAGTAGTTCCATTAGTGATATTGTTAGCATTTGCACTATAACATCCTAACCTTAAGAGGTTTAAGTTAGACTGTTGTATCGGTTGCTGTGAATTATTTCGGGGGATTTCTTTTTCTGTGGTGCATCTCTCAGCAGCAGAAGCCTGGACTAAATGTTAATAGAAACAGGCTCAGTCCAGACCTGTGGTGGTCATAATTTTCCATAATAATATTGCGTTATTCTTAGTTGCTCAGAAATAGCTTTTTTCCACATGCACTTTTTTGACCCCATAGGGCTTTTTGGAAAGGACATGCAAGAATGTATCCTTTCTTCCTTATTATAGAAGAATAGACCTGAGCTGCCCTAGCCCAGCTCTGGGGAACTGTTTGCTAGTTCAGTGCCTCCATGCAAGAGAGCACAAGACACTGATTAATATGGCCACTGTAAATATAGGAAAGAAACATAATGGTCTTCAATCCTCAACGTGCTACAAAGAGATGAGCACTTACTAGACCCACAAGATCTCTGCATAGGGGTCCTTCTACTCTCCATGGTATCTAAACATGGGCCTACTGAACTACTCTTCCAAACAGATCCTGCAATTATACCTTTCTCAGTGATTTCCTTACATCTTCCAAACTCCTGAAGTTTCTTGGTCTGCAGTTACCTTACCTGCTCAAATGCTCTGTGTACTTATTGTCCCTAAAGTAGATAGTTTTGAAATGGGCTGCTTAAGTTCTAGCATTGCAAAGAAAATTCCTAGAACGTGTAAATGAAAGACCATAAAAACACTTTCTCAGTGCCAATATTTAGAGTCTTCTTGAGGATAAAAATACTGAACTTCTGAGCAGAAATGTATTGTGAGGCCTGCTTCACAGAAGAATGTTGCCAGACACTTTTAAAATATAACTATTTTCCTACTTTTTTTTAAGCTGTAGACTAGTAAGGATACAAATTCTCACTGATGCCACTTCATAGTCGGCAGGGAAGAAAAAGGGCTTAAAGATGTTGACTTACGTAACTGAAAAATCAACTCCCTTTAAATTTTTTCCTAGAGATGCTGTATCTATTCTCAAGCTTAACACTAAGGAGTTTAGAAATAGACACTAACTTAGAAATAATAATTGAAAGACTGATCTCTAAGGTAATGGGTCTTCTAGCACTAATCTATTAACTAGAAAGCTAACCTTTTTTCTTTTTAATTTGCATCATGTAATCTTTTAAGATCTTTGTGAAACAGCATATATCTTTGTGAACGAGATACAATTTAATCTTTACCATAGGACAAAATCAACTATTATGGTTTTTTTTCTTTATTATTTTAATAACATTCATGTTATGGTATTGGTAGTATCCAGGACTTAATTTAGATAATTTTTTGCTAATAATTACTTTTTGTCACAGCCTTATTTTGTTTCTATTAGGCTCATGTGTATGTGGAGAAAACATTAGCCAGCCCTATGCTTCAGTGCTTTCAAACTCTGCAGGCCTAAGTTAGGTAGCTGATTCAAGTGAAAAGTTTGTTAGTCCTGTCTGTTTTGAAACACAGGGGATTCAGGCAGCATTTTATCATCAGTGATAATCTCTTTTAGACTGAAGTTACAGAGCAGTTGTGTTCCAGTTCCCTTTACTGCTTTGCTGATTGCTTCTGATTTAGGTATTAGAAACTTCACATTGCTCTAAGATGTTGTGTAGCTTTTCTCAAGCTACAAGTTTTAGGCCTCACACCTATATAGTAGGCAGATTAGTGCTCATATTTGAACCAGACTTCAGGTATTATCTCTTAAGATTTCTTAAATCCTTTTCATTGGTTGCCTGGAGTTCACAGCTCCAGTGAGATTTAAAAGATGACATTGATCAGCATTAACATTAGCTAATAACTCTTCTTTCCTTTCAACCTTTGGGTATATCTGACCAGACATAAATTTCAGGTGGATACTTTTGGTTCTTACAGCTGGTTATTTTCCCTTGCAGATCAGACAGCTTGCAAAAAAATCAGGACCTGGAATTTGAAAGGAACAAAGAAAGGTTTGAATTCTTAAAGGTACTGAAAGAATTAATCCTATTAGTGAGGAGAAAAGTGCAATGAACAAAAGTTCTTCCATTGCTCATATGCATTGGAAATTTTTGACTCCAATTCCTTCTGTTTCAGTGGGGCTCTCAGGCATTTAAAAACATGAGGATTATTCCGCCAGGCTCGGGGATCATCCACCAAGTGAACTTGGAGTACCTGGCAAGAGTTGTGATGGATCAGGATGGCTACTACTATCCAGACAGTGTGGTGGGCACTGACTCGCACACCACCATGATAGATGGTTTGGGAGTGCTTGGCTGGGGTACGTGCAGTAGTGTATCGTGAATAGTCTGTTGGCTGACTTAAGCTGACAGACTCTGGTGAGTTGACCCTGGCTGGCAGGTTAACCCCCACCCAGTTGCTTTCTCACTCTACCTGCCGGCACCATGGGGGAAGAGAATTGGAAGGGCAGATGCAAGAAGAACCTCATGGGTCGAGGTAAAGACAGTTTATTTAAGGAGGATGGGGTGGGAACAGAAAAAAGGGGAGGGGGGGGGGAGGAAACAAAAGCAAGCAATGCAAAAACCATCACCAGCTCCCACCGACACACCAAAGCCCAGCTAGTCCCTGGGCAATGGCTGCTTTAGAGAAATTTCACCCACCACTACCTCCCAGTTTTAATGCTGAGTATGATGTTACATGACATGGAATATCACTGTTCAGTTTGGGTCAGTTTTCCTGGCTGTGTCGTGCCCACACCAGCTTACTTGCTCAGTGGCAGAGTGAGAAACAGAAGAGACCTTGACACTGTGTAAGTGTTACTCAGCAATAGCTAAAACGTTGGTGTGTTATCAGTGCTGATTTGGTCACAAATTTGAAACGCAGCACTAGATAGGGCTGCTGTAAAGAAGACTTATCTCCATGCCAGCCAGACACAGTACACAGACTAACCCTGGTTTCAGGGAACCTGATAAGGTCTTGTGCGGTTATTTAAGACTTTGTAACTAAGCTCTATTCTGATAGCAGTCTCAGATGATTTTTGGTGCATGCATTGTAGTTTTTGGGTTTTTGTTGTTTTTGGTTTTTTTTACTTTGTTTTCTCTTCTGCATTTAAATCACAAGGAAGCAGGCAAGGAAAATATTAAATAAGACTTCTGGAAGCGTCTTAGTCATTTGGTATGGCAAGGTAGTTGAAGCATCACTGAATATCCATTTGTTCCTAAGTCACTTAGCTACTTTCAAGGTGTTACCTTATCAAAAAGTACTTCAAATGCTGCATTAGATTAAAGAGGCTGAAAACTGAATCTGAGTTAAATACGCCCAGAGAGGCCATTGTGGAAAACAGCACTATGAAGTATGTTTTAATACCAATAGTCTGCAGTATACTCATTACAGAAATAAATACAAATAATACCTTTTTTTACTTGTAGTAGTGAACTGCAATGTTTGAATTATAGACTAAATAAGTAGGTATGAAATGAAAGTATTTGCAATCATACCAAAATCATCGTAGCAAAAACTTCAGTTGAGCTTTTTATTTTCCTGTGTTATGGTGGTAGGAGCCCTATTGAAATAGATATCATACAAAGAGATGTGTTTTTAAACAGCATTTGCTAGTTGCTTACAAAGATGCTTTTGTCAAGTTCTGAGTACCACATGTGGTAGAAGTAGGACATTGTGCTTTTTGTACTGCACATATGTTGCTGTGGCACTATTGGTCAATTGAGACTTTTTGTCAAGGGTGGAAGAACTGCTGGTTTGGAATACAAATGTAAACATGTTTGGGTTTTTTTAAAGGTTATTTAAAACCATGGCATCTTTGGGATAAGAGATGTCTTTTTCATTCTATATTTGCTTGCACCTTACACATGGAGCCTTCATTTAGATGATGTTGCAACACCAATAGCTGCTTGGAAGAGTGTGTCTGTAAACTTATCCTCATTTTCTCCAGAATTTTAAAGTATGGCTTGGCATAATCCGTACCATACATGCTCAAAGGACGCACTCTTGGATCCAGCATTTTTTGGTAGTGACTGGTAATGCTGAACTTGCTTTATGCCTTCCTGTGGTAACCTGTCAGTCATGTAGAGTAACTTGACTGTTTTAAAATGATTCAACACCTTGTGAAAGGAGTCACATAATTGGATCTGTCACAGAATTATCTTTTTAATTAACATAGGTATATAATTTTGTATAAAATAAATTTGAAATTATTTTTCAGAACCATTATTAGATTAAGTGGGTAAAGGAATAGGAGTAGTGGTTTGGCATACACAAGCAACTATTAAAGGCAATTTGTTCTAGCTCAGTATTAATTAAGCTAAACAAAAGGTAGAAGGAGCTTTGAAAGTGGAAGATAAACATGAGAGGGACTTTCTACAGGCACAAAGTTATAAAACTGTTGCCTAATGCCAAATTGCTAATAAACACCATGAGTTTTTTAGATTGCACAATAACTGACATCTTGATACTCTACCTTATTAAATTAGCAAAATGAGGTAGTCATTTGAATTGTGTTCCTCTAATACTGAAGGTGTGCTTACACAGAGATTTTCACCTGCACATGCCCAAGTCCTGTTAAACTTAATAGACTTAAGGAAGATATTTCTGTCTTAACAAGTAACTTTTCTGTTAGTATTCTTTAGAACAATCTGTACTCTTGACTCTAATAATCTTTCTTTCCTTCAAAATAATTTTTTTCTTTGGTGACCAGTAGTCATGGTCTGCATATATTTCACTCACAGCACATCTTGTTCAGTGACATGTCAGTAGTTCTTCATTTATGCATTGCATAAATTTTTAGATCTGTTACTGTAAAAGTCAAGCGTTCTCAGAGTAAGAACTTAGATTTACTTAATATCCTGTCTAATGGCTGAGGAACAACAATGGAAATATGAAACAGAAGGAAATTAGAAAGCCCAGCCTTGCAGAACCTGAAGCAAGTTGAGGAGTGCCTCTTAGCAGAAGGCTAAGCCCTCTGGGTGTCTGCCTTCTCTCCCCTTTCACACCTTAAGTTGAGTAATCGTCAGTTAATTGTACTTCATCGGTTTATCTTTGATGATCTTTGATGCATTACTATCTTTCTGAATAGTTGGATTATATACTCCTGTTGCATATAGGTGTCGGTGGCATTGAAGCAGAAGCAGTGATGTTGGGCCAGCCAATCAGCATGGTGCTTCCTGAGGTGGTTGGCTATAAGCTGCTAGGAAACCCCCAGCCACTGGTAACGTCCACTGACATTGTGCTCACCATTACCAAGGTAATTAACATGTCTACTGTTTTGCCATTACTGCTGGAAGGTTCGCATGTTCTGTAGGACAGAGTCACTGTGCTGCATGCTTAGGAGCCTTGTGTGTGCTTCCATGTAGTCATTTTGGACTATTTTAATGTTTTTTGACTCTGTGTGGGTTGGAATCAGCTGCCCAAGGACAACTGCAAATTTGCTAGGCAAATCTTTTCCAGAAGCCGGGTAAAATGGAACAGAGAGCTGATATCTTGTGGCCTGTTCAAATCCTCATGTGTGTCTGCTTTGGCCCAACGGTGCTTGTAAAAGGATCTTCTTTCTCTACCACCTCAAAAGAAACATGATTACTTTTTTTTTTGAAGTGCCTGTTTAAGGCAGTGTAAAATCTGAAAACAGTCAGTAAGTGTTGCAGTCTGATTTCTTTAATCTGCAAGTGTTTCGCTCATATGTCATATGTCCATAGTATGTTTATTAACTCTGTGGATTGTGACTGAATTAAGAGTATTGCTGGGTTGGCATTAGTGTTGTTTGGAGTCAGAAACTGGTACATGTGTTCATCATGGGATGCTCTCTCTAGAGAGAACGTCCAAATGAGGAAAGCTAGCGGTTTTTGTGTGTGCTCAGTCATTTACAGTTTGATTCATGTGCTTGTGCAGTTGGCTCTTCCTGTTTCCCTGTCTTCCTGGGTTTGCTGTCTAAAGACCCCATGCTGTTCTCTCCTTAGAATGTCATTCTGAGAAAAATACAGTTGTTCTAAGATAGACTCTAGTTTAAGTGAGAGGAAGAGCAAGTTTAGAAGGAATACATCCCTGTGTTGTATTTTATTATTGAAACTTTATGTCTGTGCGTCCTCATCTTTGTCATTTAGTTTAGCAAAGCTTCCTGGTTTCAAATGGCTATAGAAACCTTTGAAAAGGGTTTCTCTGAAGTTGAAAGCTGGATTTTGTAACATACGTGCTTAGGTCATTTCACACCTAGCAGTGACGCAAGCACTGTATTTTTATAACAGCACCTTCGCCAAGTTGGAGTCGTGGGTAAATTCGTGGAGTTTTTTGGTCCTGGTGTATCCCAGCTGTCAATTGCTGACCGAGCCACTATTGCCAATATGTGTCCAGAGTATGGAGCAACAGCTGCCTATTTCCCAGTGGATGATATTAGCATTGAGTACCTGATACAAACTGGTGAGTGTAAGAAGAGACCATGAGTTAAAGGTGGAATTGAAAGCAAGAACTCCAGATCTATATAGTGCAGTGTCATGAGTTAAAGACTGCTTAAAGTTAACTCT